CTATTAATTAATATTGCTTTGCTGAAAGAAGAATTAATTTCGGGTATGGTATTAATTGTTTATGAAAAGATACCATAGAGCAGGTTATTTCCCAACTATGTATCAGAAATGGAGCTACATTATACACACCTACATCTGGAAGGAAGAAGACGTAAGAACATTTGCAGTATAGACCCTCTTTTTTAAGATAAGGAAAATGCATAGCAATTATCATCAGAAGAGGCACCATAGTTTGTCAGAACAAATAAAACAGGAAATATCTCCTGAAAGAAATGAGTAAAACTGATGTTCTCCTGTCCACAGTTTTTAATGTAGTAATTCAATTTTCCTTCATTTCCATCACACAAGACACAAATTCAATTTCCTAATGTGTATCAACATTTTTGCTCAAGCTTCAGACAAATGTAAGAGAATCTTGAGTTAACCAATGTTGTGGATGAAACGTGGAGACCAATAAGTTAGCACTTAGCACTTCCTTTGCTCAGCATCAACAACTGGTCAAAATCAGTAAAGAAGGCAAAAGAAGACTGGTGATTAAATTACCTGATAGGAAACAAAGAGCCTGGAAGTCAAATAATTTGAACGAAGATCTTTTTGTGAAGTTAATCGCAACCTTCTCAACAACTGCAATAACTTCAAACAGATAAACAATTTATGGCTCTTGTAGAAATTTTAAGTGAATCTGGCAACAATAGTAAAACATGGTACATATCAGTATCTATTTCTTTTCTGCGAATGATATTTCTTAAAAGATAAGTAACAAAGGAACACAGTTACTTAAACGGACCAAAACCTTGAATATTAACTTTTGAATATGTTGTACATGTCCCAGAAATTCCAATACAGTTATCTAACCCTATTTGTCATGAACAGATACAAAACTTGGGGATTTGCTTGCTTGTACTTCAATTTCGATCTCTGATTCCAATGACATGATGTTGGCAGGATCCTAAATTAAAATATGAAACAGGAAATACTCCAACTGTTTGGCAAAGAAACACCATGGCCGAGAAAAATTTAACTCAAATTTTTCTTGACTTAGATGCAGTTTTTGCACTATTGAGCGCGGTTCAGAAAACTATATCAAATTCACAGTCACACCGATTTGTCCGTGACAGGATGTCCTGACAGGTCCCACCAAAACATACACATACACAAAAAATAATATCGGTATTTTAGCCACCTTCCGACCGACACGATAACGTATATCACTGAGTGGACCCCCCTTTCAAAACAGTCAATCAAAATACTGGTGGGTTGGCATGGCTGCTTGCAATGTTATCTCAGTCTCATCTGATCTAGGCTTCCGATCTACGGATACCTCATCAACCAGAATTGCGACCCTTCCGCTCCCTCGCATTATCTGGGGAATTCCCTTTAGCCTCGCTGTATCCACACGCCACGCCACGATTGAGCATGCCGCTGTCTGCGACAGGGTGCGGCCGTGGCAGGGGCTGCAGTGGGATTAGATTGCCGAGGTTTCACCTCTTCAGGAATGACTAGCTTTTGGTGGGGAAGAGAGGCGGCACGTTAGCACCACTCGCGTAGCACTCGTCCTCTCCGCGATCAACGATCGCCTTGCGGGGTAAGGCCCCTTGGCCAAGGCCCTGGGCCATAGACAATCACTAAGGTCCCTGGAGGCTTAGGCCCTTGGGCCAAGGCCCGCCCAGCTCCCATAGGAGTCCATCCGATGTGTCCTCTCCACGCGGCACGCACATCACTCTGGCACTGTACTGCGTCAAAAACACTCGACGCGGAAACAGTTGTCGACGTCGACCATGAACTCTTCCTTGAACGTCGTCCACCAGTCAGGGCCCTCCCCCGGTCCCTAGGGTCAGTACACCCAGGCCACAGGGATCCACTGCGGCGTCGAGTGCACCCTCTCGATGGCCCGCTCCAGGGCGCCGATCGTCTCCTCGATGTCGTTGTTGACAATGGTGAGGTCGAACAGGTGTCCGTACGCCTGGCGGAGCAGGTCCGACTCCTTGGCGAGCCGCTCCAGGCTGCCGTCGTACTGCGGAACAGGAGACAGGGGGTCAGGACCACGGTGACGCGGGGCCCCGCTATCCGGGCAGCGAACGCGGTACTCACATCGGCCATGTTGTGGAGCAGCGGCGCCGCGATGAAGACGACGTAGGGGGCGAACTCACGAGTGCGCAGAACCTTGAGGGCCTGCGGCTCCACGTCCAGGATCGCCACTCGGCCCTCCTGGTGGATTTTCCGGATCGTCTCCAGCTTCGTGCCGTACATGGCGTCCTCGTGCGTGCCTGTGAACACGGCGGATAAAACGTGATTACTCTGAACAACAACCACACACCGAGACGACGAACGACGGAGGGGCGCCGCGACGAGTCAAGCGCGCAGTCCCCAGGCCCACACACTTACCGTACTCGAGGTACTCGTTCGCCGCAATGTCCGTCATCATCTCGTCGTGGGAGACGAAGTAGTAATTCCGGCCGTTCTCCTCGTCCGGCCTGGGCGGCCGCGTTGTGTCTGAAAGCATAGGAGCTCTGGTTAGGCAACGGGCGGGCACAGCCGCGCGGCGGGTGGCCTGCCCCCGAGCACCCAGGCGCCCGGGCGCTCTAGTTAGGCAGCTGGCGGGCACCGCCGCACAGTGGGTGGCCTACCCTCGAGTCCGCAGGCGCCCGGGCGCTCTAGATAGGCAGCGGGCGGGCACAGCCGCACAGCGGGTGGCCTACCCGCACATTCGCAGGCGCTCACCGTACAAGCAGCGTACTTACGGGGGATGGGGTAGGCGTACTGGTCCGGGTGTTTGGCTATGAGTGTGTTCTTAATGTGCCGCCGACCGACCCCGTGAGCTCCGAGCAGCACCAACGTCCGCCGGGGGAATGCTGCGACAAAAAGGCTGTCAGAGGCGCGCACACAGATTGGCACAGCTTCAAGGCAGCAGTTTGACCACCACTTACTTGGTAATTTGACTACTTCTTCGTAAGTGACCAGATCCAGCTGGTCAAAAACTGCATTATGCTTCGCCAGGTACTTGTCTTTGTATTGTTTCTTCTTACGGCCAAAGATTGAGCAATTGACTGCACAGAGAAAAAATATATTACAATATGTTGTGCGTTGCGGGAATACCTGCGAAAGAACCATGAACGTCATTTCAAAACTACAGCCGCGTTCATCTGAAACACACCAGATTCAGTGAGATTTTCAGTGGAAATCAGCATTGGGTAATGGCAGTTGGAAAGAATATGCAAAGCAACATTACCAAACAATACACAAGCATAATCAAGTAATCAATCTACGATCACATTTTACTACAGTATGTTTAGAGAAACTAGAAGAAATATTATTAAGGTTATCAACGTGGAATTGATTTATAACTAGCATAAATTTACAATTTGGTGTAGTACCTTTAGATTAGACATCTATAATCTGCTTTAGTTTACTGAAGTATATTTATCGATCATTCCGAACACGGAACGCTACTAGCCGGCCTTTATGACGAAAATATATGCAGTTTGAATTAGCGCGTAGCGAAAAATAACTACGGTTTTTTATGTTTTCTACAATATTAGAGCGATATAAAAGGAGCTGTTTAAATAGCAACTATTTTTTAAATAACGCAGACACAGCCCCACCACTTCACGAGAAATAAACTCAGCGAGAATGAATTTTGAAGTCTAATTCCCTTTATCTGATTATGCTGTTTATTTCTTTAAAGAACGACACTGCTCAAGTAAGTTTTGAATGTTGTAGAACGAGACCGCACAACGAAATTAAATTTATAAATCGATCACTCGAGAATGAACAGGAAACCAAGGAATATATTCACTTGTCGCAGCCCAAGGTCAAAGAGAAATGTGAAGTGGGAAGCTGGGAGCTGTGCCGCGGCAAGGAAAAATAGGCCAACATGGTGGTGAGGCTTTAATTTAGATACCTGTGGAGCTGTCACAGCCGTCTGTGTGCGAGGTGCACCCGGGACCGGTACCTCTCTCTGGACAAACACATTCCGGGCTTTAGTGTAAAGGCGTGTGGTGGCGTGGCGTGTCGCAGGAAGCAACCCCCTCTCCTCGAAACTAATTTAATGTCTGAGAGCTCAGCCGTGGGCTTATTGAGATGACAAATTATTACTCCCACGGCTCTGGGAGTGGGGGCGAGGGAGGCTACGGGGAGGGTGAATATACGTGGCCAAAATCCTACGGAGGGGTCAAAACTAGGACCCCCAGGGAGGATGGGTATATTGCAAGTCAGGGAGGGCAACTTTGGCGTCACGCGGGTCGCTCGAGTCCAGCCACACAGCCACGTCCCGTCCCGGCCAGCTCCAGCGAAAACGCCCAACGAGTCTCTAAGCACTTCCGTCAAAGCGTCTCTCAAAGAGAAACGAAAGAGCGGCCCAGCCAAAAGAGAAGGGGCGAGTTTAAGCGCGCCCGAATGCCGGCGGAGCGGGGGCACGTTAAGTACAGGCTGCGCATCGCATCGGTGCGCTGCTGTGTTAAAATCGCACCCTTTTCAAGGCGCACCCGAGGGGGCTGTCCGACGGGCTAAGAGGCGGACATTGCAGAAGCTTAGGGCTCCCAATCAGGGAGCGGCGGCCGGAGCCATGTCAGCTTAGAAGCGCCAGTCTGTGTTTGAAATGCTTCGAAGAAAAAACTGCCACACTGGGAAGAGAAAAACGGAGAGAGAGGGAGAGAGGGAGGGAGAGAGGGAGAGAGAGAGAGAAAAAGAGGGAGGGAGAGAGAGAG